TCCAATGATGTAATTGATGATGGTATGTTAATTGATGTCAATGATGAACATTCTCTAAAACAATCATCACCTAATTTAATAATTGATGATGGTATATTAATTGATTTTAATGATAAACAATAATTAAAACATTCATTTCCTAATTTACTAACAGATGTTGGTATATTAATTGATGTCAATGATGAACATTCATTAAAACACCAATCTCCTATTTCACTAATTGATGATGGTATATGAATTGATTTTAATGATGAACATTTATAAAAACATTCATATCCTAATTTAGTAATTGATGATGGAATGTTGATTGATTTTAATGAATGGCATTTATAAAAACAATAATTATCTAATTTAGTAATTGATGATGGTATATTAATTGATTTTAATGATGTACATCCATAAAAACAATGATATCCTATTTCATTAATTGATGATGGAATATTAATTGTTGTTAATGAATCACAATTATAAAAACATTCAATTCCAAGTGATTTAACTTCTGATGGTATTGTATTTCCATATTTATTTCTATCTTCTTTTGTATATTTTATATTTTTACAGATATTTCCTTGTTCTTTTTCGGATAAATATGTTGAATAATCTGTATACCATATTACTTTTTTAAATATTTTTCCATCATTAAATATTTCATCATATTTATTATAAATATGAAATGTTTCAATATTAGGAAACAATTTTCTTGAATATCTATCTAATGGAATTGGATTAAAATGAAATCGTTCCATGTTTCCTTGAAATCTTTTAATTCCTATTTCTAAATTAATAAAATCTTTAACATCATTAAAATATTTTGATGTTATCATTATTTCATTATATCCTAATTTCATTATTGATTTATTATTTATTAGTTGTTTTTATTAGTTCTTTTATTTTTATATTTTAATTTCTTCTTTTTTATTCTTTATCATCATTCTATTTTTATTAATTGATATTTGTTATAAAAAACATTAAATAATAAGAAATAAAATAAAATGTTATTTATTTTTATTTTTAATAAATTATAATTATTAAATATTTCATTTTATTTTATATTTTATTCATTATTTCATTTTATATTTTATTTTTATTAGGATTCGAAGGTAGCATGTCAGAGACACAATACAGAATCCTAAAATATTTCCATCCTTCGATTCCCACCAGTTATGGACTGGTTATGGCGTTGCGTTTGGTTAGAAAAACATCTTACCCGGTACTGCAAGAATAGCAGTGTTTATTATGTACAATGACAGAATGTCATTGACAATAAACGAATGGGTATTTATAAAGATGTTATTATTACTTATTATGATACAAATATATTTAATAACATAAGAAAGATTATCAAAAGAAAAGGGTCAAGTGGATAAGGCTAAAAGAATATTAGCCCAAAGCAATACAGTAGTAATTATATACTCTCTTAAAATAAGAGAATAAAGAAGAAGAAATTCAAACCCATCGAAATTAAAAAGAAACTCCAAACGCATCGAAATTAAAAAGAAATTAAATAATGAATATCTAAGTAAGGGATGTTTAAAATACTCTATTCCACATCAAAAATGAGAAAAGAAAATTCTCACAGTTCAACAACTAAAAGCAAAGAATAAGGCAATAGTTGAAGAACAAATACATTTAAAGCTCAGGGACGGGATTAGTCTCCCCTGAGCAAGGAACAATAGAAGCTATTTCTATTAATACTTAATTAACTACTTTTTATTTTCTTTTTATTTAATAATAAGATCCTTTTATCAATTCAGAATATACAACAAATTTTGTTGCCATGGCTATGAGTAATGTAATAGAGTCTTGTAAAGAAAATCAATCAACAAACAGGTATTCAAGTTCAAAGAAAAGAAAGGACTTCAATAGCAATAAAATGCATAATAATTATGATAAAAGAAATAACAGGAAAAAAGTGAATAGAAAAAGAAGAATACAAATAAAAACAAATAAGAAAGAAAGTAAATATAATGATAATAAACATTATACAAACAAGAAACCTAAATGGTTGACAACAAAAGAAATTAAAATGAAAATTAAAAGAATAACAAGAAAATGGGAGAAATGAGAATACGAAGAATTACTTAAAAAGTATGAAGGTAAAGAAATTGTATAATATTATCCAAGAAGTATATTCAATAAGAAAGAAGAAAACACTAGAGAAAATCAAAGAAGAAATCAAAGATAAAACAAAAGATTGGACAAGTGAAGATATTAAAACAATCGAAGAAGAAATCAAAAACAAAAATCGAAACAAAGAAATGAATGATAGATGTAAAGCTGCAAGAATAATAAATGAAAAAGAAAATAAAAGGAAAACACAAGATAAAGAAGAGAAAATAGAAGAAGAAGGCAACAAAGAAGAAATTAACACACTTCAAAATAAAATTAAAGAATTAGAAGAAACTATTAAAGAACTTCAAACAAAAAAGAAGAACGAACTATTTCAAATGAAATAATTCAAAAAGCACGAGAAACAGTCAGGAAAGAGTTTGAAGAAGAAATAGAAAAGATTCAAACACAAATAAACAATATCCAAACTACATTTAATGAAATAAGAAAACTCTAAATTAAAAGAGGAAAATAAGACATTACAAGGAAAAATTAATGAAGCAAATGGTAGAAGGAACATTGAACTAGGAGGTAAGGATGAAACCATCTTCACACTCTGAGCTAGCTATGAGAAGCTGAAGAAAGAGAAGGACTTCTTCCTTAAAAGTGATGAGCTGGAGAAGAGTGGTGAGTTGCTAGAGAAGAACATAAGAGATAAATAAAATCAAATCTCTGTATATCAAAAAAGTGGGATTCAAAACTATGAGATTGCAGAAATAACAAGAAAAGAATTAGACAATACACAAATAGAAAATAAAGAACAAAAACAATTAATATCAAAACAACAAGAAAGTATTGAAAATTTTTTATCCCAGAAGGAACTGGAGAAGAAGAAAACAATGACTCTAGTGATAAATATACAACAAATACTGAGAACATCATCATCATGGACAATATAAATGAACAAAACTACCCCTATGAAAAAGACAATTATGGAAATAGAAGAAGAAGAGAGCAAAACACTGAGTATCAAAAAACAAGAAATAATAATCAGTCAAGAAGAGAAGAAAACACAACAAATCAAACAAATAAAATTTTAATTGATGTGTTGTATTGATTTGAATTAATTGGTTAAATAAGAAATTAAATAAGAAATTAAGAAATGAACAAATAGAAAACATAATAAAAGTAATAAATAATAATGTAAATAATGATAAAGAATACATTAATAATATTAAAAAGTCACATAGAATAAAAGAAACAACTAAAAGATATATTAAAATGAAAGTGAACTCCATCATAGAAGGGAAAGTAGAGTGTAACCCAATAATAAAAAATATTATCATAAAAAATAACTCTACTGATATTGATAATGAATATCTTAACTCTATCATCATTCAAGTTAAAGAAATGAAAATAGATAAATGTGTAAATATTAATTACTACTGGAAAATGAAAGAATCAGATAAATTAATAAGAGAAATAAATAATAAATGGGTATGGTCAGGAGAATAGAAAATCTGCAAGAAGATATGAAAAGGATTTCAATGTGCATGCATTATTATCTCCAAAATAAATTTATAGGAGATAAATTTGATGAAATAAAAGAAATCATAAAGAAAATAAATAGATTAGAATATCTAAACAATGGAATGGTACAGAATAAAATACATCATGAGATTAAATGAACAAGATGCAGATGAAATTAAAATTAAAGCACAAGAATGAATAAAGTACCTAAAATATATGATGATAATGATTAAAGAAAGAATTAAATTTAATAAGAATGAAAATGTCAGAATTAATACAAATAAAATCATGTTTGATTCTAATAAGAAAATTAAAATAAAGAAGAAACACAAAATGAAATATACCCAAATAACGATATTACTTTAGAATATTTGAAATTGTTATATGAAACCCAAGTGATATTAAATAAAGAACATTTAAAAATAAAACAAATCACCTCGTGGAATGAAAGATACAGGAATTATGATAGTGTCATCATCTCAATGGATGAACTAAATCTAAGCCTGATGAAAATAAATAATTGGAAATCACAATGCATTGACACTATATATTTGTATTATTAGAAGAGAATGTCATCATCAAGAGAATCTATTCTTAATATCTTCAACGAATGGTTAAACTTCAATGAAAACATCCCTCTAGACATGGTAAGTGGAAGAACTATACTAATCCACAAAGGAGGTGATAGGAACGATGTCACTAATTATCGTCATATCAGTTGTACAAATGTAATTATGAAAGTATTTACCTCAATATTGAAAGAGAAGATTCATAATAGAATTAACATGAATAGTGAATCATTAAAAATTAGTAAAAATCAATTATGATGTAAACTGCAATCTCTTGCTGCTAAAGAAGGATTAATTAACAGTTATATGTTAAAGCAGTAAAAAGAAGAGAAATACCCAAAATATGTAGAGTCATATTATGAAATTAAGAAAACATATGAATCAGTAAATCACGAATGGGTAATAGAAGCACTTAAATATTTTAATGTAGAGGGTATCATCATAGACATTGTAGAAAGTATGATGAACAGATTGAAGATATTCATATGATATAAATATAATGAATATCTGGGATGTATTAAATTGATGAATTTTACAATGTGATTCATTATCCCCTCTACTCTTCATCATCAAAATGAATATAATTTCTCAAATCATAGAAGAGAAAATCCCAAAAACAAACAATACATTGTATATGGATGAATTGAGAATAATGACACAAAGTAGTGAAGAAATGGGAACAATCCACAATGAAATTAAACAAATAATAAGTGGAATAGGGATGGAAATGAAAAGAAGTTAGGAATGGTATTAAAGAACATTAATAAAATACCAGATGGAATGTAAAACATCACATTAATTGAAGGAGAGGACTTGTATAAATATTTAGGTGTATGGCAGTCCGATGAAATTAATGATATATTCAATTGTAAAATCATCAAATAAAATATGATGAAGAAATTGAAAAAATCAAATATGAATTACCTCATAACGAGTATTTCATCATGTTGAGAAGTGATTATTTCAATTTATTCTTCATATTTTATTTATATTCATTTATTGTTTTTTCAATCATTATCAATTTAAATATTTCATCATTTAATTTGTTATCTGATTTTTATTTTGAAATAAATGAATATTAAATTTCATCATTATTTATATTATTATTTTATGTTTGACATATCAATAACACTATAATTATGGTTTATCTCATTTATCATCAATATTGTTTAAATAATCTTTATTGATAACACATCATTTATTCAACTCAAAATTATCAATGATAAATATAATGTGTCATAATAAATAATAATACTACAATCATAATAAATAAATAATGCCTCTATAATGTCATTCATAATAATTAATAATAAATAATAACCAATTAATTTGAATAGTGTGTTATCTCATCAAAGAAATGAAATGGACAGATGATAAATATTCAAATTTTGGACATATTAGGATTCAATGTGGTGTATCTGATATGATGCTTTCAAATATAGAAAATATCATTTAAAAAAAAAATAACAAAAAAGTAACAAAAACAAAAAAGGAAAATAAAAATAGATATTCAAATCATATAATTGTCAAAAATAGAAATAAAATAATAAAAATAGATTATAAATAAAAATGAACATAAAGTTGAAATTAATATTCTTTTCAAATAAAATGTTATTAGAAATAAAAATGTGTAATTGTGAAGTTTGTTCACATTTTTATATATTTTATATTTCTATTTTTTCTTTATTTTATATTTTAAATATCATTTAATATTTTTATCGTTATTATTATCATTTATTTCTTTCTTTTTCATTCATTTTTATTTAAATATATGGTAATATTGATATAATCTTTTCAATTTTTAATCCTTCATATTCATTTAAATCTATAATAATGAAATAATATTATTATTACAAAATAATAATCAATGAATGAATTAACACAAATATTATTTAATCATTTAATAAATAAAATAAAACACATTCAATGATATTATTTAATTGAATTCTCTTTTGATTAATTATCTTTACATCTTCTTTATTTTTAATTTCATAATAAATTCAAAATATTTTTCAAATAACAAAATATAAATAATAAAAATAATAATAAAATATTCTATTAACTTTATTTGATTTCTTCTTTTATTTAAAATAAATGTTATCGAATATAATAAAGAAACAATCAATATTATTTAATTGAGTTCTAAAAAATAATAAAGAATAATAATAGTTTATGAATGATACAACATAAATAAAATTAATAATTTTAATTTAAATACCATAACTTATAACCAACACAATGGAAACCCAAGAAGTAAAACACCAACACAAGCAATTTCAGTGCTCATCCAATTAGAAAAATTTATGACCCTGATAGAAATGACAATGAAAGCACATGACCTAAGAATCTGTGACTTAGAGACAAATTTAGAAATAATATTAACAAAAAATAAAATAAAAGAAGATGTTATTAATTTCATTAAAAAAACAACAATAAAATTGATGAAGAAATTAGAAATATAAAAGAAGAAAATGAAAAAAAAAACAATCAAAGAACTTAAATTATATGAAATTCAAATAGATGAAAATACATTAAATATAAAATACAAAATTATTTAATCAGTAAAATTATGAAAGAAATAAAGAATAAATGAATAAGTGAAGAAAAAATAAAAGAACTAGTAGAAGAAGAGTACAAAAAGAGGTATCTTCAGAAAAGAAAAGGATTAAATATACCCAAATAAAAGGAGTTGATAAGAAAATTATTTCACCACAAGAATTTCCCTTAATAAAATTCATATAAAACAACTAGAAGAATGGACATCAAGAAAAGTATCAAATATACTATTTAATTCAGATATTGATAATTGGAATGTTAATACATCAGTATTTAATAAAAGAATAATAAATAAAGAACATATAATAATTATTATTGAAGATTCAGATAGAAATAAATTTGGAGGATATATTAATGAGAAAATTGATGAAGTTGAAGATTATATAAATGATCCAAAATCATTTTTATTTTCAATAGAATCAAAAAGAAGAATAAAAAGAATGATGAAATTTGATATTAAACAACCACAATATGGATTTATTTTACATGAATAAACACATGATGATTTGTTTATATTTTGATGGTGTGATATTGTTGTTTGTAAAGAAAACAATAAAACAAAATCATATTGTAATCAGTGTTCATTTTCATATAAAGGGATATCAAATGCACTTTATGGAAAACAAGGACATTTCATACGGCAACGAAAAAAAGCAAATAAGAGAAAAATGATGAAAAAGAATGATATAAAAGAAAAAAGTGAAATTAGGAAGTAGAAGAAGATGAAAAGAATAAAAGTAGAATGTTGAGATTATAAAATGAAAGAAGATAAAAATGAATAATTCAAAATGAGATAATAAAAGGTGAAAATAATGATGAAATAATGGATGTATTTTTTATTATATAAATTAGAAATATGCAATAAAAAAAAGCGTTTAATTTATTTATGCAAATTATTTATCATTATTTTATTTATGCAAATTATTTTATTCATTTTTATTTTTATAATTTTTATTTATATATATTATTTATTATCTTTTTTTCTTTTTAATATATTGATTATTTTAATTTATTAAATTATTTTTTTATTAATTTTTACATATTCTCTTTTGCTTGTTTATTTAATCAACTTCTTCAATTGTTGGTCCTTTATTATTATTTTCTTTTTCTGTATTTCTTCCTCCTGTAAATTCATTACTTCCTCTTCCTTGATATATTTTTGAATAAATTCTTCCTATTTCTTTTTCTATTTCTTCTTTTTTCTTCTCATATTCTTCTTTACTTCCATTTTGATTATTATCAATCCATCTTAAATTCTTTTCTATTATTTCTTCTGCTTTCTTTTTATCTTCTGAACTTATTTTATCTCCCATTTCTTTAATCCTATTCTTCATTGAATAACACATATTTTCTATTTGATTCTTTGTTTCTATTCTTGCTTTATTCTCATCATCTTCTGCTTTATATTTCTCTGCTTCTCTTATCATTTTATCAATCTCTTCTTTACTTAATCTGCCTTTATCATTTGTAATAGTAATTTTATTCTTCTTTCTTGTAGTTTTATCTTCTGCTGTTACATTTAATATTCCATTTGCATCAATATCAAATGTAACTTCTATCAGGAACCAAAACAGGCAAAGAAATAATGCATCTAAATAAAAAAAACTCCAAAAAGAAAAAGGAGTAAAATATTTTGCATCAATAAAACAATATTATTTATTTTTGTATCAATAAATAAACGCTTTTTTTATTACATATTTCTAATTTCTGTAATAAAAAATGCATCCATTATTTCATCATTATTTTCATCATTTATTATCTCATTTTGATTACTCCTTTTTATGTTCTTTCTTTTTATATCACTAACTTTCTACTTTTATTCTTTTCATCTTCTTCTACTTCATAATTTCACTTTTTCTTTTATACCCTTCTTTCTCTTCATTTTTCTCTTTATTATTTGCTTTTTTTCGTTGCCTTTTTTATATAATATTT